TCTAAAAACTTTTGAATTTGCATATTTAGAAATTTTAACTCTTAAAAGCTTCTGAATTTGCAAATCTTAAAATTTTTATCCCAAAATTTTTAAGCATTTTCAATATTATAAATCTAAAAACTTGTAAGCCATACCAAAACGTATTTTTGTAAATCATATTTTAATGCAAAAAATAAATATAATTCATGGTATTCAATCTCATTCAATTAAAATGATGTTTTAAAATTTTCATATTGTCATAACGGTTTTGTGTTCGTCCGACGAATTTGAAAATAAAATAAAAAATAACGGAATCGCCACAAATTTTTTTTGGCTAGGTGCGATTAGCCACCTATTAAAACATATATTTTTAATGAAATCTTAAAATTAATTAAAATTTATTAAAAAGATAATTTTAGGGTCTGCGCAATAGTCTGGATTCGGGAATATGGAGAAGGATTAGCACCCCCACAGCGTCCGTTAAAAACAGTACCAATTAACTACATGTTATCTTTCGATTTTGATAAAAACAGTTTTATTTTCGGTATTTGAAAATTAATTTTCTTGATTTTTTTATTTATTATTTTTATATTCAAGTATTATTTGAGAAAAATAAATTAGAACCTTTTTATTGAAAGAATTTCTAAAATGTTTCAGTACATTGGTAACATTAGAAGAACTCTTTCTCACCTAAAGATTTTTTAAGCATCACTTCTCGAAATATCTTATAATCTCATATTTGGAGGTCCGAATTTACTTTTCGTAAAAAATTATGTCATGTATGTAATGCAAATAATAACATGTTGATGCACACATTTTATTCTTTTTCAAAAAATTTATTAATTGTTTTATTAAATTGTTTTAATTTTAATTTTGAAGAAAAAATAATTTTTATTGTATTGAAGTTTTTCTATAAATATTTCAATGCACTGGTAATATTTAAAAAAATCTTCTCACCTATGAATTTCTTAAAGCATCTTTACTCGGAATACTTTTGGAATCCCATTATTGGATAAAATTTATTTTCTTCTCATTTTTATTACTTATATTTTTAATATATTAATCAATTTTTATTTATTACTAACAAAATTTTTTTTATTATATTAAAAAATTTTATAAATACTCCAATACATTGGTAGTATTTAAAAAAATTCTTCTCACCTAGAGTTTTGTAGACATCATCACTACTCGGAATACCTTTAAATCTCGTCATTGGATGAAATTTCTTTTTCTTATTTTTTTTTTTATCAATTTTGTATTATTAAATATTATAAAACAATAAAAATTTATTTTGATAAATTTAAGCATTTCTACATGCATAAATAATAATAATAATAATTCAAAAAATCTTTAAAAAAAAATTCAAAATTTTTTTTCTTTTTACCTGAACCGGATCAATCAACGGTCCAGTCAACGATGGTCCGATCGGATCGGCACTCGATTCGATCTGACGGTTCAACGGTTCAAGCGCGGTCCGGTTCAATCTGACGATTCAAGCACGATCCGATTCGATCTAGTCCGGTTTAGATGGATCGGTCAGGGGTTGAAGGAGAAATTGGTCATCGGGTCGGGTGCACGGACCTCAGATCGGGTCACGGGTTGACGTGCGGATACTCAGAAGTTAAAACAACGTCGTTTTGGGCATTAGTGAAACGATGTCGTTTTGAGTTTTGGCTGCTTATATAAAACAAAAAAAAAATTTCGGTCATTTTTTTCTTCTCCCCACAAAAAAATTTTCCTTTTCCTCTCAGACCAAAAAAATCAAAGGATCGACCGGTCGTCGTCGCTGCCTCGATGCCACCGCTCATCGGTAATCGGCCGCCGTCACCGGTAGTCGAAAAATCTAAAAAAAACTAAAAAAATTCTCCTCGTTCCTCTAAACACAGATTTGGGCTTGGTTTCTCCCGAAAGTATCCCAAACGACCCAGATCGGCTTTCAAAGTTTAAGTAAAAAAAATTTTTTTTTTTGTATTTTTCTAGTTTGCCTTTTTTGTGTATTTTTGTAGGTGTATTTTGGTGATGGGTTCCCCATTCTAGAAGACTGTTTTTGCTTTTTTTGTGTTTTTGCAAAAAAAAAATTTTTTTGACAGAAGTTTTTTTTATTTTTTTGTAAAATATTTTTGTCGTTTTTTTTTTTGGTCCCTTCTCTTTCCCTTTGTTTGCAGTTAACAAGCTCTATTTATAGAGTTTTTTGGTATTCAAATCTCAAATTTTCTGAAATTCGAATCTTATTTTTTTTCAACTGAAAATTTACGTCTGTCATGCATGATTGGTGGTTTGTCAGTCGGCTACTGGCAGTTAGCGACGGCGATTTTAGATTTTAGAGATTGTGTATTTAATGTACTAGATTTGAATCGAATAAGAAAAAAGAAAACGGAAAAAGAAAGGAGGAAAGAAAGAAGAAAGAAAAAAAAAAGGGAAAAATATTAAATAATAATAATAATAATAATAATAATAATAAAAAATGGTGTTTACACATATGATATTATTATATTATTAATGAATGAAAAAGATACCTTGCACCATATTTTCTCGATGAATGAAGCTTGACGGAAGTCACCACCTTGACACACACACCGCAATCACTTGTTTTTTGTGTTTTTTTTTTGGGAGGGGGGTCTTGCAAAAGTGAAAGGACGAAGCTTCAATAGGCCTATTCCCAATAGCAAATTGCTTTGCATGGGCTTCAAGGGTTGCCCAGAACTTTGAAGCAGCAGATCCTTCAAAGAGCCACATTAAAAGCCTTCGCCCCAAAATCACCAACCTTACCAGGAATATCGAACCTACCCTACCCAGACACTGAAGGTGACATTATTGAACATAAGAAAGCTACGGTTCAATTCAGTCCACAATTTAGATCTATAACTTTGAAGGGCAGAAATAAGCCACTGGATCCATTTTCCTAATGGGAAAACCATAGCATCATAGGGTAAATTTCACGGATAATCATTGAACTATCATTACATTACTAAATTTGTCATTAAGCTTTAATTTATCTGGTAAAGTTACTAAGATTTGTTAAACTGTATTAAATTTGATCATCTAATAGATTTCATCCAAATCAATAATAAAATAATGACATGGTTATCACATAAATTGTTACATAAATTGCTAAGTCCAGAAAAAATCTGTCAAAATATTATATTTCTCTTTTTTTATTCTTTTTTCTTTGGTTAAGCCACCATCATTAGCCCAAACGTTTCCACTTCTTTTTTCCCATCTTCCATCTTTCTTGCTCTTGTTCTATTTTTATTCTTTATTTGCATTTATGGTTGGAGTGAAAAGGATTGACTACCAAGGGTGATTTGTGATATTGATCTATTGATTGTAATGGAACCAAGAAGAAGAAAATATGATGCTAAAGGTAAGAAAGTTATTTTATAAATTTTATTTGGTTTGTTTTGACACTATTATTATTGTTTTGTGTTGTGCTGCAGGAGGCGTTTAGATATAAGAACAATTTCAAGAGAGAATGCATTGATGCAAACACTTGCATCACGAGATTTTTTATAGATTTGGGAAATACAAGTATATAAAAAATTGTTAAACACTGTATTTAAATTTATTAAAATGTGTGTTTGTATAATATTACGATGTTTATAAAACCTAAACGTAGTGCTTGTTAAGTATAATACAAGAAAGATTTATTAAAACTTATATTTATAATGATCAAAATATCATACTTGTTTAATATTATAGTGTTTATAAAACTAAAACGTTGAGTTTATTAAATAAAATGTTTTGACGATTTTTCAAAAATTATATTTATAATAATTAAAATATTGTGCTTGTTTAATATTATAACATTTATAAAATAAAAAAAAATCATACTTGTTAAATATAATGTTTTGATTATTTATTGAAGATTATGTTTATAATGATTAAAACATCATACTTATTTAATATTATGACATTTATAATATAAAAAATGACTTATTTATTAAATAAAATGTTTAAATAATTTAACAAAAATTACGTTTATAATGATCAAAATATTATATTTGTTAAATATTATGACATTTGTAATATAAAAAATATTATACTTATCTAATGTTAATTTATTTAATTGATTTAAAAAATATTCAAATACTGCATTTATAATGATCAAAACATTATATTTATCCAATATTAAATCAATTTTTAACTTAATAAGTGTTATTTACACGTCGTTTTTATTATTTTATTATTTTTTATAATATATGATTTTATTTCTAACATAATAAAAAAATAAAAACTTTTTAAATTTTTTGTTTAAAAAATTAATTAATATAAAATAATAAATTATAATAAATATGTAACTACATATACGACAATTTATCAACTGAGAGTTGTAATGTTTGTCAGCTGATGAAAGATATTATAATAAAAAAATTTATAATGTAATCTGATATTCTGTGATCTAAATACAAGTATCTAAAATTTCCATAAAAAATCATCTATTCTCCAGAATCGACAGTTTCCTCAGAGGTCACATTCTCTATAGAAATCCTAGATTCCGTGAACAAGACAGAAAGTGAGGGAGTGAATGGAGTCATCTTTTCAGCTACAGTGTCAATGGATTCTGAGACTCCCATGTCAGACTCTGGCATCATCAGCCATATGTTTTCAAGTTCACGAACCACTTCTGCCATTGAAGGTCTAGAATCTGTCTCATCTTGGCAACTTTTGAGGGCCAAAGTCACAAACTTCTCCACACATTCAGATGGATAAGAACCCATTCTTCCATCGATCACCGAGAAGACCGTACCAGAATGATATGCAAGATTAACCTGATACCCATTGAAACTAAGATATTATGAATTAATTACCTTACAGACAAAACAATCTGAGTCAGGACCATCATCAAATCTTCAAATGATGAAGTCGCTAATATTCCATGCAAGGAATTAGAGATTGGCTCCACAAAAGAGATCAGAAGATCTCATTTCCCAACCAAACCCCTGAAGAGAAACAAAAGCACTGCTCTTTTCTCTCTTTCATTTTAATGGAAAGAAAGTAGATGATGTAGCCTACATCTCATTTAGTGTAATGATCCAATAACTTTCATTTTCAGCCTAATATTTCCCATGTGAAGTGGAGGATGTCACTGCAATCAAAATCCGAATTTCAAGTTAAGAGATGAGGTTACAAAATTACCTCTCGAACAATGTGTTTGCCATGTGAGATCGGATGCATCCCAGTCAATAGCTCTAGAAATACAACACCTAGGCTATATACATCACTCTTGTCTGTCAACTTATGTGTTAGGAAATACTCGGGGTCGAGGTAACCCTGCATGCCAAGAGAAAATAAATATTAGAAATGGAGATACTAAGATATATTTAACCACATCCTGATTCTTACATCTTCCAAGACACAGTACAAGTCAATATCACCAATTTTGAATTCCATCTTATGGCAATTTTCTGGCGCACCTCTTAAAAGTTATGCATAAAGAAGGTTTTTTCATTATCTTAAACCAAATTCTGACTTGCATTATGAATAGTTTTATTATTAATATTTCCAAATATTCCATGCTGCTATGCTAGCTTGTCCAAATGTTGGCATTATGACATCTAAGGACTCATAGGTGCTAGGACATTGTTGTTTCAATCTAGAACACTGGTGAATGGTGATATAATCAGAGAAAAGAGGAATTATACCAAATAAAAAAGGGATAGGAGAAAAATAAAAACAGGTCTCTTATCAAGCTACAATTCACGAGTTTCATTATTTCTTTGAAATTATGAATGAATGAGATTTACCAGAGTCCCCTTTACAACTGTAGATACATAAGCAGGCGCTGCCCCTTCTACATCTGGAACTGGGGCAAGTCTTGATAGTCCAAAATCAGCAACCTTTGCAGTGAACTTCGAATCCAATAGTATGTTGCTGGACTTGATATCTCGATGGAATATGGGAGGATCAGCTTCTGTGTGTAGGTAGAGGATTCCCTTGGCCGAACCAAAGGCAATTCTTAATCTCGTTGCAAAACTCAGAGGTTCTTTAGACTTACCTGTTATAACATATGAATATAACATTAAATTAGAGCATCTAATATTGGCATAAAAAACTAGCGGAACCAGAAAAAGATATTTTCACACCCCCTTATTGTCTAAAAGGCACAGTCAAATGAACAATAGAAGAAGTACCAGAAAGATGATCCCTCAGAGTGCCATTTGACATAAACTCGTATACCAACATCTGCATGTGCAAAAAGAATTCACACGTAGTTTCTCACCATTTGATGATTTCCAACAAATACAAAGAGGGAATAAGGAAGAGTATACAAAGAACAAAGAAGTGCAAGTCTTAGTATAGTGTAGCACATAACATTTGGCACTTAGCATTGCTCATAAAGAATGAAGTAGAAGAAAGTATTCACCTTAGTTAAAAGTGACAAAAGAGCCAAATCTAAGTTGATAAAACCTGGCTGTACCTACACATCTGTGTGTATGTATCTTGTTTTATTTTATAGCCACAGTTAAAAGTATTGTTCAAAAGGTTTTACATCTGTCAGATTTAAATAATTTGAAATTTCTTGTTTAATTGCATTGATAAGGCACAAGTGAATGGAAATTGTACAATGATGGTTCCTCCATTTGTCAATCAATAGATAGGTTGAAGGAACAAGGGACTCCGCTGAGGATAACATAGGTGAATGAGAATTTCCAAAGTGATTGTGTATACAGTACGTACGATTGACAGATTATACATGATTAGAAACGGATGAGTGCAAGTACCTGCTCGCCTTCTTCATCACAATATCCAATCAAAGACACAAGGTTTCGATGGTGTAATCTTGACAATAATTGAATTTCAGTAAGGAACTCCCTCTCACCCTGTAACGATCCCTCTTGTGCACGTTTTACGGCTACTACCATGCCATCAGCCAAAGTGCCTCTAAAAACCTTTCCGTACCCACCTTGGCCAATTTGAGTGGAGCTGTTAAAATTGTTTGTTGCCATGGCCAATTCCGAGTAAGTAAAGCTCTTGACACCAGCTATCTTAATTGAGGCCTTAGAAGCTGTACAAAAAACAGGCTCAATGTTAAAGCAAACTTTTTTAGACTAGTAAAAAAGATTTGGGTTGGATCCATATTTCAATGCATACTCCCAAGCTATGTTACTCCGACTCTTCATTTTCCCTGCAGTACCTGTGTCTGACACATATTTGGACATTGGTATGAGGGTACAATCCTCCAAACATATGGAAAAGCTTGGAAAAATTTGCACATACCCGTCGAATACTAACCCGTATCCTACGCTCACCCTCAAGCCCAGGGAGCATAGCTCCCTAGTTTCTTTCTAAAAGTAATTAGAACAGATATCTAAGAGATGAATAGGATGATATTTGGTGAAAAAGAAAACCTACAAGCAGTAAATCAATCTTCACTGTGTACACAACAAATACAATTCTCAAATGATATTAGAGGCATGATGCATACATGTAACACTACATTTTTTTGGGAAGAATGCAACAGATTATAGCTGGAACTAGGCTTTTTCCCTTGTCCATTTGAAACAAACATTATAATCAAAAACCTAATTCAATCACAAATTTCCAGATAAATAATTGAAAAATAATTCAAAAGATTAAACATAAACAAGAATGTTTGCTTGCAGATTAGGTAATGTCCGGATAGAAGTTGTGATTTGCATAGTCAGGCACATCCTATTTCAAAAAATTGAGATACTCACTATGCCTTTGTTTTGAAGTTACATGGTAGTTCCTCAAACGCATTCTCAAGATTAAGAGCGTGACAACTGCAGAGAATGTAACCGCCGCAGCAATGCCCCCCAGTACAATGCCAACCAGTGCACCCGTGCTTATACCAGATGTTGAAGTGGTGACTATCAATGAGAATTCAGAACACGCAAATAGACAAATCAAAGTTATTGATCATCGATATTATATTTGCATACATAAGCAAAAAGCAAATGCTAGGTATACTGCATGGGCAAGTGAGGCATTGTCAACTAGGAGTTTCTATTTAGGTTCTTTATAGCTCACAACTGCTTATTCAACCAATCATCTTGAGCATTATAATTATCTAGTGGTACACACAAAGTGGAGTGATATATGCTGTAAAAGCTTTGCCAACCAACTATTGCCAGGTTGTAACCAGCCCAATTGTGGTTGGCAAAAGGTCTAGTTTCTAGCCAGTCCCTCTAATTTCCCCATGATCGTTTTAACAAAAGAAAATTTTTTGTAAGAGCATAAAGAGGCCTGGATGCAGATTTTCTTTAAAAGACAACCAGAGACAAGGTTTTATGACCCGAATACCAATTTCAACCACAGAAATCTGCAAACCAACTCAGCACGACAAAGGAGCATTAAGCCAGTTTTGTAAAGTTATCTTTTAATACAGAGGATACAGAAATGTAAATCACAGAATCATCAAATCCTGAACATTTCAATGTTAGTAGAGTTATGCTCTAGTTGTAGAGGATGATTACGTTCAAGGTAATATAACCATAAAGTTATTGCTCATAAATACGGTGCCGAACAAGTTATTCAGTTTTCATAAGTTTTCCAGGTAAAATGACATATCTAGAAACTTAAGGGAAATAATAAAAGTCAAACTTCGACTAATTTATTATGGTGTAATACAGTGTTCGTGTTTCTCGTGTTTATATCCCATAAAGTTGCAAGAAAAGTAATTATGTAACAGACAAGGTTTTCAAGACAAACCTTCCTTATAGATGTCCGGTAAAGTGAAGTTGAGAAGTTCATATGGTCCAAATATGTCACTATCAGGAATATTATATCCTGTGAACTTGCTCCCGATTCGTCGAACCTCGCTTCTATTAAACATATTACCACTTTTGCTACTGGCATTATAAACAGGATAGAGCTTCAAGTACATTCTCAGTCGAGGTCCTTCTTCCCATTCCAACGAATCTATATATAGCTGACGAAAATCCAAGTCAAGTCCAAAGGTAAGGTACTCCTCAAATCTTCTCATATATGGAAGAAAATATGAAAAGCCAGGACTCTTCAACCGATATCCAACAAGAAGAGGTGCAGCACAAACGCAAGATAAATTAGACGAAAGGGAAGCTTCATAAGGGGATGGGCATGATTGAGGGAGACATTCAGCAGCGGAGTTTGTTGCAGACTGACTTCTATTTACATTAACACTTTGAGATGCGCACAGCTGGGGTAAACTTAAATTTCCATTTGTGCACACAGGGTTCCCTTTGAGCCTGAAATTGTTAACATAATTAATTGAAGCAGAGCAATAATAATTTCAGAGAGGCAATATAGACATTAAAAGTACCAAAGAAAAAAACTGAATTTTCGTTGGGCAAACATATAAATGTAAAGATAAATTTAATTACTGACGAAGAAAACATGTGCAAAATACCAATGCTAGTCATTAGAGTTAAACTTTAAAGTAAGTTTAGAAGCAAACCAGAGAGTGACATTTGGAGGGAGGTTAATGCTGTCCGAAATATTAGTAAGCATATTGTCCTCTAAATCCCTGTAAGTGTCAAAGAGCCAAATACGACTGCTTAGCAAAACAAGATGCTAAAAGAATGATTGTTGCACCTTTGACCATAAATCAAAACACATAAGGCTGCTGAAATCAACCAAGGATGTAGCTCAGCATATCAGGTCCAAAATGTTTGAGGTGCAGAGAGTTGACAGCATTGAAAAAAATTAAAGCAAATTTGCTCTTTTTGGTGCTTACAGGATGAGTCTCTGTGTTGCATTCAAAGTCTTGTTCTGCCAAAGGGAGGACATAACAGAACCATTCAATGAATTATTGGCAAGTGACCTGGCATGAGGAATAACTCAATATATAAAAAAGGGATTTACGATTCACATATTAAGAAAATAACAAAAAAGAAAATGAATTTCGCTTAAAAAAGTGAATGACGACAGAAAAGAAAATGCTCACAGTTTGTGAAGATTAGGTAGGCTGGAAAAGTTGGCAGGAATGCTTCCAGTAAGTTCATTATTGGATAAATCACTGTACATTTTGTTTACATAAATAAATGTCTAAATTCATAGAGAACACTGGTGCCATAATCCACAGGATTAAAATCTTGCCAATTCTTAGGGAATATAAAAACACTGAGATACATGGATTGGAAGATTAAGAATCTTACATGGTTGTAATATCTTGAGAAAGCTGATATGTAGGTATGGTACCATTTAGCCGATTTGAACTAAGGTCTCTGAAATTTATACAATATAATTCATAAGGAGAAATAAACCATTGGATCCATTTTCCTGATGGGAAAACCATAGCATCATACAATTACTTATGACAGAACAGAAAATATATGAACTTACAAATAAGCAAGGTGGGGTATCCTGCTTAGATCAGGGATTGGTCCTTGCAAGCTACAGTTCCTCAGGCTTCTGATAAAGCCAATGCGGAAAGACAACCATTTATGGAATGAGAAAGTTATCTGATTTGATATTAAATCCAATTGCATGCTTACTAGTCATTGCATCCATATAAAGCTTCTAAAAACATTAAAGGTTTGGGACAACTAATTGACAACATTAGCTTCTTCAGTAGATACTTAATTAGCATAAAGTATAACGTCAAAGGTGGAATACCATGGAACTCCCTCTTCAAAGTTGTCATGTAATTTTGGTAGGGTAAGTTAAGCATATTTGAGACAGAAAGATGTTTTAATTTCTATAGTTTTCTAAACCTACTAGTAAACAGAAGATTCAGAAAAGTACTTACAACTTCAACAATTTAGACATGTTGCCATAAGAATCTGGAATTGTAGTCCCATCAAAGTTATTGTTATCAAGTTGACTGCAAAAGGTAAAGAGAAAATATTTAGAAAAACAGCACAAGATTACTCATGCATTATATTATATGGAAAAGTGAATTTTTTTTCCTTTCCAAAACACACAAAAAAAAAAATATATATATATATAGGAGATAAAATATATAAACCAGATGTCAATTTTGTTTCTTCTTCATAGCAAAAACGTACTTTTGTTGCACAATACCTATAGCTCAATTTTGCTCAGTGCTATTCTCCTCATGGTGCTTAAAAACTACCCTAGTACAAGCGCTCTCTCTCTCTCTTTCCGTCTTTTAATTTCTTAGCTATACCGTGCCTTTCAGAAGAAAATATTTTTAGCAACTACATAAATCACATTCAGTTATACACTTTGTGAATAATAGCAAACATGCCATTCCATATACACCTTCTGAATCAATTGATTTAATAATTTTCCAATAATTAAACGGTTGATATTTTCTGATTATGTGCCCTGCTGAACATCTCCAACTACTGTAATTGGCTACAGAATCTTTTTCAATGGAATCAAACATATCATGGCTTCTTCAGAGTGTTCACTAAATATCTTTGCTACTTCAAATAAGAACATTTTGGCCTCAGTTGGGTTGAAAACTCAAATCTCCAGTATTATTTTGGCCATTTACCACCTAAAACTAAACTCGTCAAACCCTTCACCAAAGCCTTGCCACTTAAATCACAGCCCATTTGGTACATCAATGGGAAAGGTCATTCTCTTGCATATATGACATCAAAATCAGTTACTTGGAAATACGAAAAGTTTATAATGAGCATGCAAGATCACCTTTGAACGGTGTGCTTTTGATATGATTAGAATTCTTTGTATATTATCAAGATAAATATAAGACTTCAAGGGAGCACTAAAAAGTTTCATCTATATGAGATAAGAACTGAGCTCAGCTTAGAGGTAAGGATGAGCTATTCATTAATTGAGAAGAGCAGAGTTTTGGCTCCAATTCAAACCATGAGACAACCAATGAATATCAATCCAAAGTAGCAAATTCGAAAATACGCAGAAAGATTATTAAGACTGTCTATTAATATGCAAAAACAACATCTGTTGTGCTGCATGCTAAAAGATATTGTGCATTTAAAATGCACAATAAACAGAATGTTCCCAAAAGGCCGTATTATAATAAGTATTAAAAATGGTAAAACAAGTCAAGAAATGTAAAGAAACAAGCACACTGAAGTTTATCTGAGTTGGAGCATAAATATAAATTCACATATTTCCATGAAAGTAAGAAACCGTACAGGATAGTTAAATTCGGCATTTTGGAGAACTCTGATGGAAGATACCCGGATAAATTGTTATTGTCCAGAAGGCTGCAAAAACTCACATTGTTAATAATAGATTGACATAATTATGCAGGAAAATGGAAAAGGGTAGATTGCAGATGGTCACTAATTTAACTAATAATGGAGATGAATGACACGACTAAAATTTAAGACAATAGCTGGTAAGAAACTTACAAGTGAATAAGATATGGTAAACTGGCGAGTTCAGGAGGAATTTGTCCGCTAATTGAATTGTTGTTCATGTGACTATTCACAAGGGTTAAAAGGAAACAAATGATTAATGAATGTGAAGGAAAGGTATGGTGGAAGAAACAAGAACAAATGCACTGATTTGCTGACTAGAAATTAAAAAAAAATGCTTACAAATGCTTTGTTTTATTTAAATTTGCAAATGATGTGGGTATTGGTCCAGATACGTTGTTCTGGTCAATTTGTAGTCTGTCCAGATTTGGAAGATAACCAAGTTCTTTAGGCAAAGGACCTGTCAACTGGTTTCCATTTAGAAGCCTGGAAACAAAGAATATCATATATAACTAAGAAAGTAAGCACAATTCATGCAGTTCTGAAGCATTTCAAAATTAGCTAAACAACTTACAAAAGTTCCAAGGATGTAATATTGCCAATCTCCTTTGGTATACCTCCACTTATGCCATTCCACATAAAATCCCTTTTGGAAAAGTCAGAAGAAAAAAATCAGCAAATAACAAAACTTGTATAACACCAATAGGAGAAAATGATAAACCGTCCAGAGTCTTTGGCAAAGGGATATCCTAAAATAAAATTTAAACTGAGTTTAAAGCAAGTTTGTTAATCGTAATGTATTAAGCCTCACAATATTTTTAGACGAGATAAGCGGCCAAGCGCTGGTGATAAACTCCCTCTAAGATTCATATTCAATAGTTGCCTGCAAATAGCATCACAAAAAGGAATAAATTGTCATAACAAAATTATTCACAGAAATGTGTCTTTGCAATCAGGAGTAATTCTGCACGAAGCTGATGTTTTTGTGAATTTGTTACTAGAATTGTTAGTAATAATGACTCAAATCTCATAAGAGATTTATTTAAAATTTGTTAAATATTACTTAATGGACAATAAGACTTGTAGAAGAAAAATTTAAAAGGAAATAGATTTTTAATAGACAAGTTTGTATGGTTATAAATAGGTAAAATCTCTATAGGGTTAGGTATAAGAAAAAATATAACAGAATTATAAGATTTTGTGGGATAGACACCCCATAAGAGTACTGAAGATTTACATCTTATGGGTGTATATGTTTGAATGGTTGGGAGTAGACTAGAGGAGATTGAGAGGGTCTACATAGGTATGATGAATGGATACATATGTGTATGTGCTTGTTTGTGTTGAAATGATACACATGAGTTTGTGTTTGTTTAAGTTGAGAATACTTCGTAAGATTAGAGGAGATTGAGAGAGCGTACGTGTATTGATTGTTGAGTGAGATTGATTTGATGTATGTTTGTAATTCTCTACAACTAGTGGATCTTGTTTTTTATCTATAGACATAGGTTAATTGGATCGAATCATATTAAATTATTATCTTTTATGTGTGCTTAATTGATTGTTTAATTTTGCAACTGGTGGTGTGATTGGATTGGGGCTATTTGGCCTAACAAGTGGTATAAGAGTTGTGGTAATCCCCAATAAGTAGTATCAGAGCATGGTTCGAAACATGGGAAGAGGCAAGCTTAAAATAACTCGATTTAAGGAAAAAGTTCAAGTTCAGGTTTTGAAGATCGATTTGCATGAAGCGTAAAGGCATACAAGAGAAGATGATTGTGAGATTTTAATTGCAAGTGGAGCCAAGCATGTTGGCATGAAGACAGATGATTGATGAAATTTAAGTCAAGGTGGAGATTATTAGAAATAGTGACTCAAATCCTACAAGAGATTTGTTTAAGATTTGTTGGATATTATTTGATAGATAAAAAAATTTGCAGAAGAAGAATTCTAAAAGTAAATGGATTCTTAATAGCCAAGTTTGTATGGTTATAAATATGTGAATTCTCTACAGGGTTAAGTATAAGAAAAAGATGTAAGAGAGTTGTAAGATTTTATAGGATAGACACCCTATAAGAGTATTGAAGATTTACATATTATGATTATGTATATTTGAATGTTTAGGAATGGACTAGAAAAGATTGAGAGGGTCCACATAGGTAATGATGAATGGGCACATATGAGTATATGTTTGTTTGTCTTGAAATGGTGCACATGAATTTGTATTTATTTGTGTTGAGAATACTCCGTATGACTAAAGGAGATTGAAAGAGCTTATGTATATTGATTATTGAGTGAGATTGATTTGATGTATATTTGTAATTTTTTACAACTAGTGAATCTTGTTTCTCATCTGTAGATGTAGGTTAGTTGGACGGAACCATGTTAAATTATTATTTCTTATGTGTGCTTGATTGATTATTTAATTTTGTATCCACTGGTGTGATTGGATCAGGGCTATTTAGCTTAACAAGTAATATAAGAGCTGTGGTAATTTTTAACAAGTAGTATCAGAGAATAGTTCGAGATATAGTAAGAGACAAGTTTAGAGGTGCTCAATTCAAGAAAGAAGCTCAAGTTCGTATTTTGAAGATCGATTTGCATGAAGCGTAAAGGCACACAAGAGAAGATAATTGTGAGACTTTCATTGTATGTACAGCCAGCATGTCTAGCATAAAAATAGATGATTGATGAAATTTAAGTCAAGATATAGATTGCTAGGAATAGTTACTCAAATCCCACAAAAGATTTGTTTGAGATTTGTTAGATATTATTTGATGAATAAGAAGAGTTACAGAAAAAGAATTTTAAAAAGAAATGGATTCTTAATAGGCAAGTTTGTATGGTTATAAATAGGTGAAATCTTTATAGGGTTAGACATGAAAAAAAATATAAGAAAATTATAGGATTTTGTGGAATAAACACTTCATAAAAGTACTAAGGATTTACATTTTATGAGTGTGTATGTTTGAATGTTTGAGAATGAACTAAAAGAGATTGAGATGATCTAAATAGGTAATGATGAATGTGTACATATGGATATGTGTTTGTTTATATTGAAAAAGTGCACATGGGTTTGTATTTGTTTGTATTAAGAATATTTCGTAAAACTAGAAGATATTGAAAGAGCTTATGAGTATTGATTGTTGAGTGAGATTGATTTGATATATATCTGTAATTTTTTACAACTAATAAATTTTATTTTTTATCTGTGAACGTAAATTAGTTAAACCAAATCATGTTAAATTATTCTCTTATATGTGCTTGATTGATTATTTAATTTTGCTTAGTCTAATATGATTGGATTGAGGTTATTTGACATAACAAGTGATATCAAAACTCTAGTAATCTCTAACAAAATCTACATAAAATGCTAGTAAGCATGCAAAAGTGAATTGACACTTTGACAAAGGTGAAAGCAAAGGCGGTTTCAATGGAGATCACTATTCTCGTGCTGAACACTTACAGTTCCCTAACATGTAGGTAGCCATCATCCAGAGTTGTATTGAAGCACAAAACTCCTGTCCAATTGGATGTGCATGGGTCTCCACGATTCCAATTACTCAAATTCTTATTGGTATCAATCAAAGTGCTCCTGACGTCTCGTAATGCCTGGACTGCAAATATATGCAAATTTAAACTAAGGACTTTTATCCAACATGGGAAGGGAAAAAGGATTTAGTGAAAGTCAGATACATCTCTTGTGAGATGGTGTTGGAAATTGGAGGTGAAAAAATAAAAGAGAAAACTTTAAGGCCAAAAGTCCTAAAGGTTCCGAAATAATTTTTGTGTTTTTAGATTGCTTAAAAAAATAATTTTTATTTGACATAAAATTAATTGATTAACAAAAAATGACTTAGTAATCAACAAAAAATAAGATAATTTTTTTAAAAATTGTCTTTTCCTTTTTATATTAATGTGTTTGGATATAATTTTACTAAAATCATATATTATATATGATTTTTTTAAGTTCAAACTTAATTTAATCCGACTCAAAATATTATTATATTAATAAATAATATTTTATTTAAAATATTAATATTAAATTTTTTTTAATATTTTAAATTTAAATATTTTAATAATTTTACTCCAATAAAGTTTTGAACATAATATTTTAAATTTGCACTTAATTTGATTCGATTTAAAATATTATTATATTAATAAAAAATTTTATTTAATTTTAATTAAAAAATTTAAAATATTAATATTAAAAGGTTTTTTGATATTTCAATTTTAAATTTTTTTATATTATTAAATATAAATATTTTTATTATTTCAATAATAAATAATATCATATTATTATCTCAACAATAAATAATAACATATATAATAATATTTTTATTATTTTAATAATTAATGTTAAATAATATAATAATATTATTTTCTTAATATGAATATTTTTAATAATTTTTATTATTTTTGTTTAAAATAAATAATTTTATAATTTTATTTAATAAGGTATTTATACTTATTTTAATGATAAATATAAATAAAAAACATTTTTGTTATGATTTAATAATAGATATTTTCAAAATAAAACATAAATATTTTAATAATAAATAAACTATTTTAATATTAATAAAATTAATATTTTAAGAATAATAATAGTATTTTAAATATTTTAAAATATTAATGTAAAAAAATAAATAGTTCTATTTCAATTATTTTATATTAATATAATATTTTAATATTAAATATTATTAAAATATAATCATTCTTGAATATTGATAAATTTAGTAATATATAATTTTAATATACTTTAACAATAAATAGTTTTTAATATTTTAATAATTATATTAACATTATTTGAAAAAAATAAATTTTTTAGAAAATAACCAAATATCAAAAAATATTTTTCATTAATTAATTCAAACAACAAAAAATCTTCACTTTTTCAAAAAATATTTTTTGAAAATTAATTTCTACCGATCAAACCGAACCAAACATGAACTAATACATCCAATCCAGGGGCTTGGCAGAAGTAAGCACAAAGACAGGCAAAGTGTGAGAAGAAGATGCTTAATCTCGTTAAAAGCAAAGAAGAAACAAGGATTGATGGAGGAATGGTGTGTGAAGTGTGAGCAAAATTACCTTCAATGGGGTCCGTAAAGCGATCTTGTGCTCCAATAGGTAATGAGGACCCAAAGAACCACATAAGAAAGACAGCTCCTACCGTCCAAGCCCTTGATGCAGACATCCTCAGAATGAGAAACTCAGCAGAGTTATGAAAAATCTATCATAAAAACACAGGCCGCCTGGAATTCTTTTATTTATCCCAACACTCCCCCTGATGTCTCTGAACCACCAATAACAAATGCGTTAAAAAAAAAAAAAGCTTCCTTATTCGTAGTAGTATATAGTTTTGTCCTTCCTTTTGTTATTGGACAAGAAGAGAAACCTCAAATGAATAGTTGGTTGCAAATACAAGAAAATAGGATGAAATTAAACACAACAAAGCAAAGTAATTGCGAAAAAAAATAGTCATTAATGTTACCCTGTTCTGCTGAGCGGAATTAGAAAAAGAAAAAAATAGAAGGGGAAAGGGAAAGCGTAAGACGAAGACCTTGGGTTTGCGTAAGGGTGAGTTGGTGTTTGGTATGTGTCCGAGTCTGACCAATTCGATATGAAGAATGCCGCACAGCTGATAATGATGATGATGAATGAATACTACTATTTCTATTATATTATTCTAAGTGATGGTGAGTTAGTGTTTGTTATGCATCCGAGTCTGACCAGGTCGAATAAAGAATGCCGCACAGCTGATACTGATGATGAAGCTGATGAATGAATACTAGTATTTCTATTATGTTATTCATGTTACTTACACATGCCACTCTTTCGATTTCTAGTTTCTAATTTCTATTGCTATTATTTTTCTCTGAATGTGTTATTAATATTAGATTCTCTCTCTTCTTCTGTTTATTTTGTTAGTGTTTAATATAAATGGCCAATGGGTTTAGATTTGACTTTCTTTGGCGGAGGGCGGAGGGAGGCGCAGCCTTCTATGTTTTACCGACCGTCTTTTTGAACTGAGTCACAGTCAGACGATAAAACTGCTCCCAGGACTTAGCGTGGGGTTACAGAGTTCAATCCAAGGTCGAAACGTTTTCCCCTTTTTTTTAATGATATATGTTTATATCAATTATTTTATTATATTATTTTGGTTTTAGTTTAATATAAATATATGATTAAATAACATTTGTAATCTCTAAATTTTATATTAAATTTTATTTTAATTTTTAAATTTTAAAAAATTTTGATCAAATCTTCAATTGTTCAAATATATATCAATATAATCTCTTCATAAATTGGATCATTTAAATTAATATAAAATTTCAATAATTTTTAAAAATTTAAATACGTAAAATTTTAAAATTAACTTAAATATATGTAATTAAAAATATGTAAATAATAAAAAAAACCCTAAATCAATATTTTGTTATAATTTGGTTTTGTTTTTTTTCTTAATCGCTTCTCCTTTTTTTCTTCTTGGTCCCTTTTTTCTCTAACAATCAACAGATGGCCAACCACTTTGAAAGACAGCATATGGCCCTCCCACTACCTTCACCCCAAGCTGGAGCTCAACAGTAGCTTATCTTCATCGGATGAAACGTAAGAGATTAGGCTTAACACTACTAAGGTTAATCCAACCCTTTTTCGGTCAAGATTCTGGCAATCTCTCTCTTCCATTTTTTTCCTTTGTTCTTTCTAAAATTAAGAAGAATAAAGCAAGAGGAAATTTAGAGAAAAGAAATGATAAATCATTTTCATTTGTTTCAGATGTGGATTATGGTTTAATGGCATTGGTTGACATTCAAGATGGCAAAGGTAACTTTTTGATTCCTATTTTGTAGTGTCTTATGTTGGAATTTTATGGGTTTTTCTTATTACTCATAAAAATAAAATTTTTGTAATATTTGAGTATAGGAAATTTGGATAATCTATATTTTTTTTGTATGAAAAAAAATTGAACCTACGAAGAATTTGAGGTTATCTTGATTTATTACAATTCTTTTTATTAATAAATGCATACATGAGCAATGGATTAATACAAATTTGTGCTAAATTTTTCATGAATTAATACATGTGTTGAGTTAATTTATATGTATTCAACTAATTAATTAAAAGTAAATTTTTGTTGAGTTAGTTTAATATTTTGTCTTTAATTGTGTTTTGTTTTAATTTAGGATTTCTTATGTTTTTAATTACACAATTTTAAAATTTCACGTATCAAAATTTTTAGAGTTACATGTCATATCAAATAAAATTTTTTGTAAATTTAGAGGATCTAGTAGATAAAAAGATTATATTAGTACACATTTAAACAATTAAGAATTCAATTAAAACTTTTTAAAATTTGAAAACCAAAGTAAAATTTGACTCAAAGTTTATAAATCACAAATGCTATTTACTTTAAATATATATATATATATATATATAAATCTATACGTAATAATGCTATTAATAATATGTAAATTTAATATAATATTGTTTTCAAAAACTAAATAAATAAATTTAAAAATATAAAAATAATATAATCAATTTTGTTATAATATTTTTAAACACTTAACTAGATCATATATATTTAAATAAATATTTTTTATGTAAAAATATATTAAGATAAAAATAAATAGATGAAAAAATTTATTTTAAGTTTCAAATTTTTAAACTTTAAAAAGGATCACAATTACTTTCTTAAAAAAATTGAAATACTTTTGAATTTTGATTTAAAAAATTTTTTAAAAGTGCATAAAAATAGAGAAATTTAATTTTTAAAGGTTATTTTATTCGTTAATTTTATTTTTATTAGATTAAAAATAAATAAACAATAAAAAAAGAATTAAAAATTATAAAATATATTTAATATTTATGTGCCGATTGAAACAAATATTTTTATTAAAATTCATTAAAACCATTCGAAATCAATAAAAATAGTTAATATTATCCGATATTTAATATAATAAAAAAATTATCTTTAAATATATTATATTTTAATATAAATTAAGTATATCAACTAAATTAACAATAATGATTGAATCATTATTGTTAAAAAATGACCATAACAGTGGAGACATTCTCATTATGTTGCACCTTCTTCAGTCAGACTGAAATTACGAGGATCCAATAAAGAATTTGCCTTCTAATTACAACTGTCTTTTCCTTTTAACCCTTTTATTTTTTCAACCTTTGTCTGTATTTTTTTTCTTTTTGCTTTTAAATTTTTATTTAAAATTAAGTTTCTTAGTTTCCCAATGATTTATTTCTATTGCTTTCCCAAAAATGAATTTTCGATTTTGTAGGAGTATAGGACATTTATGGGTCAATCTTTATAGTAATTAAAAGGTTAAATATGAAATTTATTGAATTTATCACTTTTTTATTTTAGCTTAAATTTAGATAAAAATTGACAAAAATAGTGCATGTAATGTAAGGTCACGTAACCATTTTCCATGGCATTTTTTTACAGTAACAAAGAAAACTTTGAAGAAAATATTGTAAATATAGTTTACAATATTCAATCTCATTCAATTAAAGAAATAAAAAAAATATATCTCTAAGTTCAAAATGATTATTTGAAACTGTTAATCTCTTCTGAAACTTGAGATTGTTAGTATTTATTCAATTAATAATTGAATGAAGAAGAAATTCAATTTAGAAATTGAGATGAAATAATGAGAGAAGGAGGATAAGAAAGAAATTGTAAGTTTACGAGTGAGGGGTATGAAAGATAAAAATAATTTTGTTGAGTTTAATAATTCAATGGTTGAGCAATACACGCTTTTGATTAAATTTTAATTATATTAATTATAGTGGAGAAAATCATATTTGTAGCATTTAAAAAAAAAAAAAAAAAGAACTGGTGGTAAATAAAAACTTTGAACAAGCAGAGAGCAAATTTGCGTTGAAACAGGCCTTTCTCTGGATTCCAATCTAATTGCTTTAGCAAGACCCGGTCCATGAGAATCTCTAGAAGGCTACTACTTCAACCAATATATTTACATTCAAAGACAGATTCAATTGATGATTTCATGGGATTAATCAAATTCCTAAATAAATAATCGTTGCCATTCTCATTCCAGGGCAGGTTTGTCACTGCTGCATATGCCTATGTTAACACATCATGGACCCACTTGTAATTGTGACTCGAAAAAAAAGAGCAGTGTTTTTGTATATGCAATGCAGATGTGGTCTCCATCAATACCTAGTCTAGAAAGCCTTATTTGATAGTTAGCTCCAATATAGAAGAAGCATAAACAGACGGATACAAGAAGAACATGTCACCAAATGGAGATTATTAATTTGGTGTTTTGGTTATAGAAAGATGCTTCATCGTATCTCCAGTGGTGTGGTCAGCCGATAACATTACATTTTGCAACCGTTCTCTGATATGTCATCTATTTTGCAGCTAATTATCGAGAAATGAGATTTTGGTTTAATGATCGATGAAAAGGAAATTTTAGAATTAAGAAAAATTTAAGTTTAAATTTAATTGTAACTGATTTTGATCAATTTTATGTTATATTTATTTAATTAAATTTTAATTTATTTGAGTATTTAATAATAATATAATATTTTAATATAATTTTTAAAAATTTTAAAAATTAACTAATTACAAGTGAGTCTTATTATTATTGTTAGACTTAATAATAATAAATATGATATAATAATACGATATAAAAATAATGTAAATAAAATATACAAAAATAATATGGTATAAAATTTTAATAAAAATTATAAATAAATTTAACAAATTAAAAAAATATTTTATATTTTTATATTAATATATAATATAATATAATATGTAATTTTTATATAAAATATTAATATTTTATATGATATTAAAATATGAATTATCATATTTCCTTGTTGCATCTAAGATTTAGATTTTCTGCAAAGTTTAGATTTTTTATATGACATTATTAGATCATTAATGAATGAAAAAGTTACCTTGCGCTATATTTTCTCGATGAAGGAAGGTTGACGGAAGTCTTGACACACATGTAGCAATCGGTTGTTTTGTTTGGGGGGGAGTCTTGCAAAAGTAGAAGGACGAAGCTTCAACAGGCCTATTTCCAAAATCAAATTGATTTACATGGGCTTCAAGGGTTGCCCAGAACTTTGAAGCAGCACATCCTTCAAAGAGACTTATAAAAAGCCATCAGCCCAAAATCGCCAACCTTACCAGGAATCTCAAACTACCCTACCCGGACACTGAAGGTGACATTTTTGAAAGCAAGAAAGCTACGGTTCAATTCAGTCCACAACTTAGATCTGTGACTATGAAGGGCAGAAGTAAGAGGGGACCGGCATTTATTGGTTGCTCTTCCTCGTAGGCTAAATGCAAGTTGCAAAGTTCGCACAATATTGGACCCACTGGTCCCCCACACATGCAAAATCCACAATCATCAATCTTCATCACCTCTGTCCAGAATCCCCATTCACTCACCATACGTTCCCAGACTTTGACCAAGTAAAATTATAATTTGTAAATACTATACCATAATTTCCCCCCGTATGAACTTGCAAACGATTCAACTAAGGGCTTGAAGAGTAAGAGGAATAAGCCTTTTTATAGCCACATCACCTTGAACTTCATCTTTACGTATCGAAAAAAAAATCATTAATCCAATTTTTCCTAAACCCAAACATACTTTATTTATATTATTGAGAATATTTCACCATCAATTATTTATACCATAATACATCATTTAAAAGTGTAGGTCATATAAAAATTTTTGATAGACTTCAAACAATATTAAATTGCAAAAATTAAATGCACATTAGATCGTGATCGGTGGGATGAACTCATCGATAGACAATCATTCTCATTCCCTACATCACAGAACGAGTCAAAGAATTGAATGTGGGTAGATATCTGTTTCTTCAATGGGAGTGGGCCGATGTGGCACTGCGTCTGACGTGTGGAGCTACTATTGGTTAATATGGTGGATACTGGATTTCGATGGGCGCCCACTTCCGAACCTCGTTATCTTGTACGCTCAATTGCTTATCGACCGGGGGGAGATCATGTGGGGTTGGCGGATAAACGTGGCAAAACAGCAACCAAACCTTTATGGCGTATATTTGGCAGCCACTTGTTCGATTGGCCAAGTCAATCTCACGGAACAACTCCATTTCCTGCTGTCTTCCAATGATGATCGACGTTGCCATCCATTCATTTACTTATTTATCCCTTTCCCCGATTATAACCACTATACCAATGATAATAAGTGAATATTTAATAGATAAGTAATTGATATTTGTAATAGCTAAGCAGAGGAAGAAGACCGGCCAATTTGTCAATGTCAGTTGATCTGCCCACTTTATCCTTGAGCCGTCACGCCATTTATTTGAGCCGGAATAAAACAAAAATGTTTTGAGATTTGGGAGGATGCAACGTTTGTGTCTTCTTGCTGTAGCAATTTTAGAGGATATCTTCTATCACAAATATTACGCCCAAAATCATACAAATTTGGTGTTACTAATAAATTTCAAATGTCAATGATCTTATCATGTTCAATTCGACTTCTTCATTGTTAGAATGAAATGGAAGTGAGATTTTCGATATTGGATTGAATTTTATAGTTTAGCTTCAATGCTTTATTAAAATTATATGCTTGACCAACTAATTTAAAGTTTTAAGATATAAATAAAAAATTCAATTTTAGTAATTAAATTTTAACATGTATTTCCACTATTATGTATTTGCTTTATTTTCCTTTTTTCTTTTTCATTTTCCTTAATTATGCATCTTTCATAATTTACTTTTGGATCATTAATTTAAAATTTTGCTCATGCAAGAGATTTAAGATGAACGTTTTGATGTTCCTTTTAACCATAAGTGGATTAGAGATACAATGACTAGCATTATTATTTATCACTATTGATGCACTTATGGATTTGATGAGAGTAGATTTGCTAGAGATTAAACCGGTAATGAGATTATTATATCACGTTCAGGGCCACTGGAATTAAGATTATAGAATATGTTTTGTCGTTTAATTAATGAATTATTTAAAAGAGAAGATAAAAGTAAAAAGAGTAGAAAAAAGTGTAGGAATCAGAGAGAATGAACGTATGCTTGCCTTTGTCATTTTAACTTTTTTATTTTGTATCATATGAATAATAAAGTAGTTGATTGAACAGTCTTTATTTATCTAAAAATCACATGTGAATCCTAATGAGGCACCGACAAGATGCTGATGACGACGTAGCAACGAAAGCGTGTAGGAGCAGTAGCGGCCAGAATTAGAAAAGAAAAACAGTAATGCCTCACTGATTGAGGAAAGGGCTCAGCTAGCCACTAGCCAGCTAACTTTTTGTCCTGAAGTGTTATTAGGGTAGAATGGTCCATCAAGAAAAGTACTGCCCCACAGTTAGTCACTAGATAAGGTCACAAGTAACTGAGTAAAAAGGCCAAAAAAAAAGGAAAAAAGCAAACCTCAAAAGCGTCAATAAGATAATTGAAAGAAGAATCTCTATAAAAATAAGACTCTCAATTTAGAAGATATCCCGTTCTTCTTATTACGTTTCTTCTTTCCCCAGTCAGCGCGCCTATGGCTTCTCCTGAGAAGAGCAATAGCAAGATGTCCGTTTCCATGGAGAGGACCGGCCAGTGGTAAAATACATAACTGTCTAAGCCTTCCAGTCCCAATAAACATAGAAGACTAATTGCTTTGTATACCAATTATGTAAATTACCAGTCAGATTTTTAACTAATTATCATTTCTGGTTAATTTCAGGGTTTTCTCCCAAGAGATCCCATCTGATGTTGTAGTCGAAGTTGGTGAAGCCAATTTCAATCTTCATAAGGTATAAAAATTAGTTTCTGAAGTTTCCGTGCGTTTGTGTATTTATTTTTTATTTCGTGTCGAAATAAAGAAATATCATGGTATGGGCCTGGGTATGCAGTTCATGCTGGTGGCAAAGAGCAATTACATAAGAAAGCTGATAATGGAAACAAAAGAATCAGACTTGACAAGAATCAACCTGTCTGACATCCCCGGAGGCCCTGAGATCTTTGAGAAGGCAGCAAAATTCTGCTACAGTGTCAATTTCGATACCACTGTCCATAACGTGGCAGCTCTCCGATGTGCTGCGGAGTATCTCCAAATGACTGATAAATACTCCGACAGCAACCTGGCAGGGCGCACCGAAAATTTCCTCTCACAAGTTGCCCTGTCTAGCCTCTCTGGTGCCGTCGTCGTCCTAAAATCATGCGAAGATCTGCTTCCCATGGCCGAAGAGCTTAAAATTGTTCAAAGATGCATTGATGTTGCGAGTGCTAGGGTGGGTATATTAATTATGCATATATTTATTCTATATGTGCTTTCATCGTTAGTAATATATATTTGTAGTATTCAATATATAATGTTACTATCCAATTATTCAATATATAATTTACTAACCAAGTACAATTTGTTTATAGCATTTGTTTATACTTGAAGGAAAGGGATTATTTTACGTGTAACAAGGAATTGAGAATGGAATTAATTGTTATATATATATATATATTATGTATGTTTTACAAACAATTATGGATCAAATTATATATATTGAATTCCTGCCTGCAGGCTTGTAGCCTGGCTAATTTCCCTAGCCGTACGCCTCCAAACTGGTGGACCGAAGAGCTATCCATCCTTGACGTTGAGTTTTTTGGCAGAATCATTGGCGCAATGAAACAACGGGGCGCAACAGCTCTAACGCTAGCCGCCGGTCTCATAACTTACGCAGAGAGATGGCTTCGAGATCTAGTGCGCGATCACTCAGGCAACGGCATCAAGTGTTCCGAACCCACAGACTCTGATCTTCGAATCCAGCAGCGTGAGCTTTTGGAGTCCATAGTGGTGCTGCTACCCGCGGAGAAAGCTGCTTTTCCAATCCATTTCTTGTGTTGCCTTCTCCGCTGTGCAATTTTCTTGAAAGCCTCCAGTGCTTGCAAGAACGAGCTGGAGAAACGTATCTCCGTGATATTGGAGCATGTCACTGTTGATGATCTTTTGGTCTTGTCTTTCACATATGATGGGGAGAGGCTCTTCGATCTGGATAGCGTCAGGAGGATCATATCCGGGTTTGTCGAAAAGGAGAAGAGCATGGCTGTTTTCAACGGCGTCGATTGTAGGGGGGTGAGTTCCTCTGCAATGCAGAGAGTGGCAAAGACTGTAGACGCATACCTTGCGGAGCTAGCAACCATCGTTGAATTCTCCATCTCCAAGTTCAACGGGATCGCCAATCTCGTCCCTAAAGGAGCCAGAAAGGTGGAGGATGATCTCTATCGAGCCATTGACATCTATCTCAAGGTTGACCATATTGAAATGCTTAGTAGTAAATTAATGATTAAAATTAATTATGATAATAATCATAATTAATTACTGACACTGCATCTCCATGAATGCTGATTAATTACTGTGTACGAGTTACTGTGATAGTTAAGTATTGGTTGCAAATGAATTAATGAATAATTAATTAATTAATGCAGGCTCACCCAAATCTGGATGAGATAGAAAGAGAAAAGGCATGCAGCTCCATGGACCCCTTGAAGCTGTCTTACGAAGCTCGAGTCCATGCTTCCCAAAACAAGCGCTTACCCGTGCAGATCGTTTTACACGCTTTGTACTATGATCAGCTGAAGCTAAGGAGTGGTGTTGCAGATTATCGCAACGAGCCAAACGCCGTGACCACCAGAAATCAGTTGCAGGCAGACGTGTCGCTGGTAAAGGAGAACGAGGCCTTGCGATCCGAGCTTATGAAGATGAAGATGTACATATCCGACTTGCAGAAGAATAATAATCAAGCTGGAACTTGTTCAAAGAGCATGGGGACCAAAAAGCCTACCTTCTTCTCTTCCATGTCCAAGACTCTAGGGAAGCTAAATCCCTTCCGATATGGCTCCAAGGACACTTCTCATATCGATGATGGCCATGGAGTCGACGTTACCAAGCCTAGGAGGAGAAGGTTTTCAATCTCTTGATTAATTTAATTATATATATTTAGCTCTTATCACTGCTGGCTTGTCATGATTCTTATTTTTATTCTTCTATGCTTTCTATATTTGTGATGAAAACAATCTAAATTTCTTAGTTATATACGTTGGTTGATGAATTTGTGTACTTGTCACTTATAAATAATTGTTTCATAATTGATCATATATAACAAGTTGAACAAAAAAAATCACAACATTTTCTCTTTGCTTTTACGAGAGTTTAAATTAAATTCTCCTCGATCAAACATGACACCAACTAAAAATTAGAGATCTTGACTTTAAAGTGTCTGATCCAAATCTTAAAAACAAAGGATGGAATTTATGAGATAAAAAATGGATACGTTACTTCAAATGATAAAAAAAAAAAAAATGACAACCATGATATTTTAAGTTCAAATTTGACAATGAATTTGGTCTAATTTATGTTTGGTTTGGTAAGTTTTATCTTTATTTGCCTATTTTATTTTAATTCATTATTATTTATGTAATATTTTATTACGATCATATATTAATTCAATGATTATCTCAAAAATAAAAAATTTCAGTTTCTTTGTCTCTTCAAATCTTCATTAAATTAAACAAATTTCAAATTGTGCATTGAATTAGTATATATATATTTTCCTTCTTGTGTTGGAGTTAAATCCCCCTTAAAAAATTATCTGATCCACCATTGATGAAAATTTTGAACTCTACTAAAAGGATATTAGCAAGATGAGATATATCCTTTTATGTGGTATTGGCTATTGGGCGATCATGTAAAAAATTATAATGATCTAACATAATAATTAAATCATTGTGTTTGATGAGAATTTGGTGATCTTATATGACAGATAGTGAATACATCACTACTTTATAGGATGATTGAATTCTTATCTAAATGATGAGAAACTTTCTTGATAAAAGTAAAGTGATATATAAAATTAATTGTAATTAATACTAACTATCTAATGTGTGAATTGAAAATTTAATTTTTTAAAGAGAAATAATTTGATACACTGATAATATAATTTTTTAACTTTACAAGTGAGGTTAAGATGATAACATATGTCTCATTTTTCTAAAATTAATTTTTAAATATATATAAATGATATGTATCACCATCTTAACCTCACTTGTAGAGTTAAAAAACTCCACTATTAGTGTATTTGATAATTTCTCTTTTTTAAATTGTAATTTTTTATATCATAAATTTTTACTTTTTGAAAATAATATTCATTATACCAAATTCAAAAATAAAAATTGCGTGCTTTTTTTAATTTTTTTTAAAATTTTATATAATATATTTATCTTTTATTATGATATTAATAAATTTAGTTTTATGTTTTAATTCAAATATTTTTTGCATAATTTATATTATAAAAGTTAATTTATCTATCAATAAATATAATTATTAATTTAATAATTTAGCTTTACATTATTATTAAGTAAATAAATTATTACTAATATTTTATAAATTGTTATCGTTAAATAATATTAAAATTATTAATTTAATACATTGAAATTATTTATTTGGAAAAATGATTGTAAATCAAACAAAATGATTTCAAATCATCCTTGATGATTAAATTAAAATAATAATTTTAAAAATGATATCAAACAACAAAATTATCTTAGGATATTAAAAAAGTAAATATATATAAGGAAAAAAAAAAACAAAAAAAACCGGAGTTCAACAACTCTACCCCCGCTGGATAGAAAACTAACCCATTTTCATTTCCCCAAATCAAAAGATATTTCAAAATGGATGAATTAGCCCCGGCTTGCATCTAGAATTTTACTTCTCTATTACCCAAAACTGAAAGTTGGAGCCTGCCCATTGGGTCTTAAGTTTGTTATTCCTTATACCTGGATTCAAGCCCAAAGTTTTCATTCTTTACACACACAAAAAAAGGCCACACTTTTTCTGGTGATAAAAGATTGAAGGCCTGATAAACAAAAAGACATTGATGGAAATTGAGAAGTGATTGATGATCACTTCGGAATTCAAACAGCTTGCAAATGGAAGGCAAATCAATGCAGGAAAATAAGGAGTAATCCCAAACTGAAAAGTTGTTTTACATATATTCTACATAACATGGAAAAGTGGATTGTTATGAAATGAAGCTGAAAATTAGTGTATATTTATGTTCGATCTTGGGGTTGTTGAAGAAGTCACTAGTATTGTAGTTGAAAGTAGAAATAATTGATGGTAAGATGATCAAATTCAGCAAGGGCAACTTACATTTAGCATTGTCCAACTGTGCAGTGAAATTATCTTTGTGTTTGTGGAACAATGTCATTTTTGAAAATAAGCGTCTCCATTGGATGATGTTTACATGGATGGGATATTTGAAGCAGCAACAACAAATAAAACCCGAGTATTAGGGTAAAATGTTGATAAAATGTTGAACTTTTAAATTTAATAATTATAGTTCAAATCTTAATAATTTCAATTATAAATATAAAAGTTACAATTACAAAATAATTAATAAGGATTTATCCAAAATTTTTTAAGAGTTAATATATTAATAGAATACTAAATTCTAAATCTTAAAAACTTCAAATGAAAAAAACAAATGGGATCAAATAAAATATATACATATAAATAAATAAAAGAGAAAAGGCAGGGGTAATGTGTTGTCAAATGTATGTGATGTGAGCTAGGAGGTATGGTGTCTATAAGTATTTAATTATAGGGACATCCTGGTCCTGGTCCTGGTCCTGGAATTTTCGAATTAAACACACACAATGACATCAAACCATTTATATTTGACAACTGGGGTTTGCTTGTCAATTTGTCATCTTTGGCCTTTCAATTCCCCCTTTCCTTCTCTCTGTCTACTCGTTCATTTTTTTGCTTCTGCTTCTCCTTCTGCTTCTGATTGGGGAGTAGTAAAGTAAACACTAGCAGTAAGTTTTTTTTTTTTTTTTTGCCACAAATAAATAAATAAAGATAAAAGGTCCTACACTATTGTTGGTTTTGAGCTTTGAATTAAGGGGAAAAAATCCCGAAACCACGTTAAAAAAAGGAATGATTAAGGGTAAAAGTAAAAAGTGTTTTTTGGATTTATAATTTAACATTTAAGTTAGAGATTTGATTGTAAGAAATTTAAAGGTGAGTGAAAGATAAGATAAATAGAAGAAAATAAAATAAATAGATAATACTTGAATAATTTTATTTATAAATGAAAAATAAAAAATTTGTAAAATAAAATAGTGATGTAATTGAATTAATGTTATTAAATTAAAGTGATATTTTATATATCAAATCACTTAAAAATAAAAAAATATTTTTATTGATAATTTTTAATAAAAAAAATCAATTTATCTTTTAAACTTAAAAATATTCTTAATAACTACCTCTATCTATACCCTTCACCAAATTAATACATATATATATTCTTATAGTAATACTAAAAAATATAATACTAACAGTAAATTTTATTATGCATGTCCCTAGATTTTAAATTTAATGATTAAAGATATTTGAAAAAATATTAAAAGTTTGATTTTGAATTCAATCTTTTATATATATATATATATATTGGAGCTTTGCTTTCATGACCTAACAAAAAAAATATTTTTGTTGTGCATGGCCTATTGACCTACCATACCATGTGGCTTGCTTTATTTGCTTTTTAAGCACAAAGTTCAAAAGTAGTCGCAACAAAAAGCAATAGCAAAGGCAATAAATAATTATGAACTCCTATTATTTCTCTTATAAAGCAGTTCATTGTTTTTCAATAATAATTCAAATTCTTAAAAGTGTTAATCATTCCATAACAAAATTTATTTATCTTTTTTTTTTAATTTCTTAAATTATCTTTGGACCCAACGACCCCAATAGTTATAGTAATTTATTGTATATTTGCGGTAAAAACATTACTTAAGGAAACCTAACATCCTCCCTGATGCAACACAACGCAAGCCAAAATTTATCTTTCAAAACTTAAAATTAAAGATCAAATGTTATATACTATTGGTTAACGTGTTAGGTTAGCTCTTGTTAAATTGATCAGATATTTTTGTGTTTAATCTTGCAAAATTTCCAAATCCGTGTATGCATGCGTTTTTGTCAAATCGATGAGACATTTTGCCTTTTTTTTAAAATGTTAATAGTAAATTTTTTTAATTATATTTTAATTTCATTGAATTGTATTATTGTACTATTTTAATTTTATTTAATTTTAGAATTTATCATTTTCATTAATACAATATTTCTTGAAAACAATCAAATCTGTTATTTTTGTTTAGAAATCAATGAAATTGAGAACAAAATGTTAAAATATGTTATTTGATCAATAGAATAGTTCATGAAATATTTAAATTATGTTACTTATTGTTAAAATAATAATAAGCAAGATTAAAACTAGAATAATGAAATTTAATAAAATTGAAGTATAAGGACAAAACGCGCCTCAATCCCTTAAAAAACATATCAAATTCTGTTTAAAATCAAAGAAATTTAACAATTTTGATGTAATATGAAATTTATGAACCTAGAAATCTTTGATTTGCCCTTTCTTTTGTATAATGAAATTGCAAAGAAACCTGCTTTGTATGACTCCATCTATTGTATTGGAATTTGGTGAAGTAGAATTACCTCTTATCCCTGCAAGCACACCAAAAACATGTTTGGATGGCGGTCTGGCACTCAACTTGTTGTTATTATTATTATTTTTTAAAAAGACGGAAACACGACAGGATCTTATTAATTAAAGTAGTGGCATTAGGCAGAGCCTCTCAAGTTTGCATGTCACTGGATTTGAAAATTGAAAACATAACGTTAAGATATTAAAATTATATGAAAAATATAAACATATTTAAAATTTTTAATAAAAAATATTTTTTTTTATAATTTTATATTAATATAAATTATAATATATAATTTTTATTTAAAATATATTATAAATATATAAAATATTAATATTTTATATGATATAAGTACAGTAATGACAAAATTTTCTCTCCATTCCAACCTGTCAACATTGATTAATCTTATTTCAAATCTTGCAATTTGCGCTTTTTGTTTCTAGAATAGCACAAAAAATTAATCCATTATTATTTAATTAAAATAATATAATTTTTTAGACGGATATTTGCTGCATGATCAAAAATAAATTGCCTCTCATCACCAAAA